AAACTCCTGGTCTCAAGTGATCTGCCTGCCTTGGCCTCCCAAAGTGCTGGGATTATAGGTATGAGCCTGTAATGTTTGTGTTAGGCATTGTGTCCAGCCTGAAATATTTAGTTTTTAAAACTATGTATGTATAACTGTAATATAAAAAAAATTTTTAAATTGATACTAAAAAAGCTTTAAAAATAATATTTTGGATGTAAAAACTAATCTGATCCAACCCAAAGTATCTTTACCTAATTGTATTCCCTAGACAGATGAAGTATTACTTTAATATAAGTTCTTAGTGGTATTTAGTAATTCTTGAAACTGCTAAAATATCTCTTCCATGGGTTTCTAGCCACAGAATACACATGGCCTAGAACAGTGGTCCTCAACATTTTTGGCACCAGGGACTAGTTTCGCAAAAGACAAGTTTTCCACAGATGGTGGCAGGGGGAGCAGGGGTGGAGGGCGAGGGAGTTTTGGGATGATTTCAAGTGCATTACATTTATTGTGCACTTTATTTCTATTATTATTACACTGTAATAATAATGAAATAATTATACAACTCGCCATAATACAGAATCAGTGGGAGCCTTGCACTTGTTTTCCTGCAATTAGAAAGTCCCATTGGGGACTAATGGGAGAGAGTGACAGATCATCAGGCATTAGATTTTCCTAAGGAGCAGGCAACCTAGATCCCTCGCATGTGCAGTTCACAATAGGGTTCATGCTCCTATAAGAATCTAATGCAGCCGCTGATCTGACACGAGGTGGGACTCAGGCAGTAACGTGAGCGATGGGGTGTGACTGTAAATACAGACGAAGCTCAAGGCTCACCTCCTGGTGTGCAGACTGATTCCTAACAGGCCCTAGACCAGTACCATGGCCTGGGGGTTGGAGACCCCTGGCCTAGAGATCTCATGCACAGTCCTGCCTGAGCTGTTGCAGAATGCAAGAAAAGTACATTCATCAGAGACTTTAAGGCCACAGCCAGAAAGTGACAAAAAAGGCTAATATACAAAAAATGATACCTGTAGGAAAAACAGCTCTAATCAAAACTCGTACCCTCACAAATCAAACAGATCACAGATGCCCATGCCTCTCAAAGCTGTTTGTGCCTACTGGGAATTCAACACCTATGTGTTGAAAGAATAAATACATTCTTTTTTTTTTTTTTTTTTAAAAGAGATGCTGTCTTGCCCTGTAGCCCAGGCTGCAGTACAGTGGTGTGATTATGGCTCACTGCAGACTCAAACCCCTGGGCTCAAGCAATCTTCCCACCTCCCAAGTATTGGGAATACAGGCATGAGCTACTGCACTGGTCCTTAATTGTTAACTAGAATTAATACAACCAAAATTTCTGAGTTTGGATAATGTCCATGTAACGCTGATTGACATTATGTGGTGGGCCACCTCCCATTTGAGGTTCAATATCAACCATACAGTAAACATCTTACTAGATTTTTGTGTTATCAGTGGCAGCAATATTTGGGAACACTTTTCACTGTCTCCCTCCAGTAAATTTCAGCTGCAGACAAGGCAAAACATACCTTTCAAATTGGTATTGCAAGACACCAACTTTCAAATCAGGAGGTATCATAGCTAGTAAAGCTCTCAAGCTTTTGAGGAGCTGAGTTCAAAGGCGAGACTAACGATCTGCTGATGGGACTTAGCAATTCTTTCAAGTATTCTTTTAAATTATAATGAAGGATTCTTTCCTTAATTCATAAGTGATTTCTACGATCTTCACTTTACCTAAGATGAAACTGTTCAACAACAAATTATACAAACTTTTTCTAAGCACAGCCTCAGATTTTCAAAAGACCATATATAAATATTTCTGGAATGAAACTGAGCTCTGATAATAGGTCTGATTTGGGCTAGGAAGTCACCAAAAAGCAGATTAGGGGCACATTTTACAAATACTACTCTTTGGAAGAATTCTGTTATCACGTGATATGGCTACAAAGATCGCATTTCCAGCTATGAAGAGCTGAAGAGAAACTGCTGTTTGATGGAAGAAGATAAGAATTTCTAAGGTTCTTCCTCCTTTTCACTGGAAGTAAAATGGTACACAGCTTGGTAATTCTTTACAGGGTGACCCACAAATAGGTTCTAAAATAATCAAATGCCATCCTGATAGTTAGAGAATATGTAGCAACAAAATGAGCGAACACCAACGGAACGTAGATGTGCCTGGAGATAACAGAAAGGCAAGTCCTTGATTCGCACAGTGCCAACAGGAAGGAGTAGCCAAGGAATGTAGTTAAAGAATACCAGGTGCCCCAACAAGATGGTTCAAATTTCAGTTATCTCTGTTCATCAACTGAGTATGTGCATAAAGTGTAACTCCGCTGCGAGTTCTTTAGTTCACAAATCCCTGCGTAAATAATGGGTCACTCTTCTCAAAGCCTGTCAGTGACTGGTCACTGCATTGGCAGTGTGACGCGCAATGAATTTCCTGTTCGGTTCATGCAGACAGGACGCGTGTAACTGTTGCGTTGCTTCTTTAGATACCAAAGACAAACTCTTTACAAAAAAGTACAGTTTAGAGAGAACTAATCAACAAGATAAAACTGCAACAACAAAAATGTGAATCAAATGTAAAGAGAGTTACAGAAGAAAGAGCTGGCTGTGGGAATATAGGGAATGTGGCTGCTGTCGCTGGCTGGCACTCAAGTCTGTAGTGAGGGGAGCGTGTAATGGTAAACTTCTCTAAACAAATGAGGAAAACAGTTGTGACACGAAGAAGAAAAGTGTCCCAGTGGAAGTGACGCTGGCAAAGAACTTCACATTAAAGGAACTCTCAGAGACATTTCATAATGTCAAAAGAGCAAAGGATAAAACATCGGAAGCTTATCTAAACTTAGAAAGTGAGTACGACAATTTGCTGAGGCAAAGAAAAATGCTGGCTCCATATCAAAAGTTTAGGAGGAGAAAAAAGCACTGTTCCAAGTACTACTGACAAAAGAAAGAAAGAAAACAAAGAAAAAAAACTTACGCTTTATTCCTAATGTTTTAAATTACAATATACTAAAAAGATCCTAGTTTTCCAATTTATAACGGACAGTAAGAGAGTTTTTAATGTTTTGTCAAAAATGCTTAAAGGCATGGAACAACGCTAATTTTCCCTACTGACCATGAAGACTGCTCTGCATGTGTTCAACCTGTGAGGTCATTTCTACCATCCTGCACTACTGTGTATTCTAAATCTTCTCTGGTCACCCTCAACCTCAACAAAGGTCTACCAAAGAAATGGGGGGAAGGGAAGGGCACTTCTGCATCTTGATAATCACAGGGCCTTATAAAAAGGCTCTGGTATACCATGTTGCACAAAGTAGCAACATTACATTGTAACTTACGTATTCTCACCTCTATCAGATAATAAGGACTCTGGCATAAAACACAGATAGGTATGCAAACATCTATAGCCTAAATTAGCTCCACTCTCTACCTAATGAAGCCTTAGGGCATGTACACCCAAAGATCACTTCCATTTAGCTTTTACTGTGAAATGACATTACAAAGCTGAAAAGTTACCTCCCTAATCATGCTTAGGCTTGGCTAACAGGAAGATCAGTGTGAATACTCTGAGGAGAGAGTCAACACAGCAGGAAAGACTTGCATTTTAAACACTTAAAGACACACATATTCATTTATACACATTGGTGTAACTCAGGAAGGTGCAGAGCCATAGCACACAGACATAAATTCAAATATTAATAAGTTTGAGGAATTATTTCAACATTGGCATATTATTCATGTCATGAAAATGGAAACCTAAAAGTCCTCTATTTACCTGAGAGTCTTCCAGAAATTAAAATTTAAATAATATATTAAAGAATGTAATAAACGAGGATAAGGCAATGCAGGGAGAGGCTAAGGAAGCAGAAGACAGCAAGGGGGAGTCTTGAGTCTGAATTCATTTGGAAATCACAGCTCTAAGAATGCCCATCTCCCGTCCTTGATTGTTACAGATGAAAAAACTGTGACCCAGTGAAGATGAGCAATCACCCAAGATTACACAACCGGTGTGCAAAGAGCTAGGAACAAGATCCTTTAGTTGCAGTCCCTGGGTATTGAAGAGCATGAACAGAAATGAAGACAAAAGGAGCTCACTCATCTTAGATGCATGTACCTGGTTAAAAACCAGAGGACAGAGAAAGAATAAGCTAACAAAAGAAACCTCGTGAGGGCACCACACAGCTGGCCCAAAGCTACTAGGTCAGCTCCTTACTCAGAGTTAGGTTTCGCAGGCTGTCGCAGAGATCAGTTCTTTCCAACTCATTCCAGCACATAATCAAGCTTGGCTATCTGCCTGCCTCATCTAAGCAGAGAAAACAGGATTGGCAAGGACCCAGGTACTCTTCATCTATCTGAAACCTAGAAAAATCTCACCTCTGGACAATACCAACTAAACAAAGTGCGAACTTTTATTTATTTTATGACTGATCTTTGTCTATTTTCACATTTATAAAGGAAAGCAGGTAGAAGTTACACTTCAGCCTGCATATATGCCCTAGAACACCAAGTCTCAATAAAAACCAGTTACTTCTGGAGTTATAAACAAAGAAAAACAATAACCTAAATGTTCAACAATAGAAGGATTGAGTAAATTATAATCAGTTCATAGAACAGAATATGTAGCCATTAAAAATACCTACAAATAATTTTTAACAACATGGGAAATGACCTGAGTTATTTTAAAGAATCAGGATAAACATTTTACACATACAAGACTCTTGCTATTGTAGTTTCTAATTTTGAGACAAATAAGACAGGAAGAAAATTCACTAAAATATTAACGGTGCCTTTCTCTGGTATAAGAATTATAAGGATAGTTTTCTTCTTGATATTCTTTTCTGTTTTCCAGACTTCCTATCTTAAGCATATACTAATCTTATAAGCAGGAAAGAAAAAGTCCTACATGTACTTTTAAAGTAAAAAGAGACAATAAAAAAGACGTAAGTTACTATCAACAAAATGCAGAAACGATTTCCGATACTTTTACATCTTACCTTAACTTTCTTTTTCCATGTAGATTTCTGCTTCTCCTCTTCTTCCTCAATTAATTTAAGTGCCAGCTCTTTGTTAACTTTTGGCAATTTCTAGAAAGAAAATAAAAGCTGATATTTTATTTTATTATAAAACCTAACATACTTACATATTAGCTTAAAGGTTAACAGTTCTGTAAGTATAATCTCATAAATAGGAGATAACTAATTCTTATTTTATTTATTTATTTTTTTGAGACAGAGTCTCACTCTGTCGCCCAGGCTAGAGTGCAGTGGCACGATCTCGGCTCACCACAACCTCCGCCTCCCGGGTTCACGCCATTCTCCTGCCTCAGCCTCCTGAGTAGCTGGGACTACAGGCGCCCGCCACCATGCTCAGCTAATTTTTTGTATGTTTAGTAGAGACGGGGTTTCACTGTGTTAGCTAGGATGGTCTCGATCTCCTGACCTCGTGATCTGCCCGCCTTGGCCTCCCAAAGTGCTGGGATCATAGGCGTGAGCCATAGGGCCCAGCCAGCTAATTCTTATTTTTAAAATTTCATTATCCTCATAGTAGGAAATGTAGACAGGTGACGATGCCGGGTGGGCCACATGGCACAAAAACGGCAACCCCAGCTCACCGTTGGGGAACTCGCCCTCATGTCTCTTCCCAGGGCACTGAGAGCCTCTTCCCAGCAAACTGAGAGGCAGTGCAGTGGCTCATGCCTGTAATCTCAGCACTTTGGGAAGCCGAGATAGGAGGCTCGCTTTGGTCCTGAAGTTCAAGACCAGCCTGGGCAACACGGCAAAATCTTGTCTCTACTAAATCTACAAAAAATTAGTTGAGATGGTAGTGTGCGCCTGTAGTCCCTAGCTACTTGGGAGGCTGAGGTAGGAAGATCACTTGAGCTCAGGTGGAGGCTGCAGTGAGCTCTGATTGTGCCACTGTACTCTACCATGGGCAATAAAGCAAGATCCTGTCTCAAAAAACACCAGAAATCTTTTAACAGTCTGGAAAAAGAAAAAAGTACTGAGGGTAAATGCAGAAAACAGTCACTAGTCTTTTACAGTGACAGAGTACGTATGCATACCAATGTTCAATTACAAACACTGGTATTATTTGGTGGTTGAAATGAACCAACAGAGGCGGCTGCAGACAGACTGCAAGGCAGGCGAGGGAGCAGGGCCTGCCCTTCCTTGTCTGCGCTGGCACTACACAACAGCAACTCTCTGTCCTGGAAACAACAGATGATTCCACAGCAGTAGTGGATTCCAGTTTGCAGTTTCCAACGCTCCCGGGAACATCCTTGCTATGCCTCAAGGGCCCTGGAACCTGCCTGCAGCCTCTCCTCAGAAGCCTGAGTCCAGCTCCACAGGGCCTCCTCTTCCTATTCCCCAGGCTGCTCCCCAGCCCTGAGCTAGTGGCTGCTTCCTGTAGTTCACCGCTCTCCTCCATCCTTTAGCAGTTCTGCCTTTTCAGTTCTTGAATACCAAGTTAATCATTCTTTACATTAAATTCTATGTACTCAGACAGCGAGTACAGTTTATGACTGTCGACCATTTCTGATGATCCAAATAGCCTAAGATACGGTCAAAGGTCAGTAAGAAATGGGGATTAGCAAAGCCCCGATACTCCAAAAACGGAAAACACATTTAAAAATGCTATCAGGTTTTTAGCGGAGGTGACAATATCAATCATCCTAGCATTATTTCCCACAGTACAATTACCACAGAGGTCATAATGCTAAAGTTGTAAAGAGTTTTTATATCCTCATGACAAACATGACACACTGATGACAAACTATACCAAAAATATTAGCAAAAGATGCAGATTAAAGATGGAAAACCAAGAAAAGAATGGCAGATTTCTTTGGAATAATACACAAAATGAAAATTAAGTACTCTTCTCTGATAAATTCAATGGTAAGTATAATATTTACCTTTAACTGGACTCTCTGTGCACGCGTTTCTTCTATTTTCTGTCGTATTTTATCTTTCCTATATTCTTCATAAGCAAATGGATTTACCATCAATTTCACCTTTTCAAAATGAAAAAGGTTTTTAAAATAAAAGAATGGTATTTAGTAATATCATTTTCATATACACCATGACAGTTATACCAAAGAACAGGCAGATCCCCTACAAATCCCATGTATGTTTTATGAAAGTGCGAGTAGTGAGGAAATGGCTATAGATTGCTCATTAGTTACCTGAAACATAATAACTGTAGTTTTCTGTTTACCTTGTGATAGAGTCTTATATCCATGAAAAACCCATGCATATATGCCCGGAGGAAAGGAGATCCAATGAGGTGGGTGAGCCCTGGGAAAGGTCAAACAGAAGACAGCAGGTCCTTATGCAATCTTCATTAAAATTCAACAGTTTTTCTTGGACCACAATTTGATTATAATAAGATTTCACTTCAGAGTAAAAATTTGAGGATTAGAATTACTAATCTTCTTTGATATCTATAGAGAACATTTAATTGACTTCAGCAATATCCTCCTTATTTATTTTAATGTTATAATACTACACACAAATATGATGAGAAAGTCCTTATGAACCATGAAAAAGAGGATTCTCTTATACCCTCTGAGTGGTCCTCAGGTTTTTTATTTCCACAAACCAGTTCAATTTAGAAAATAACACTGCGAATCAACAGTAAGTTGCCAAATTGAAATGAGAAGGGAGTGAGGAGAAACACTGTTATCTCCCACCATTTGCAAAAACAAAGGACACTCACAAAAACAAAGTAGAAAGAACTGTCTTCCAAGAAAGAACAGCTGACAAATTCCTACCACCATATAGAAACACACATACATGCATATTAACACATCACATATGCATTCCTCATCAGGGACTAATGAAAAGTCCACTGCCAGTCAGGATTTGAGAACCCTGCCTCAAACGATAGCTTTCAGAGTTTCCCAGTTGTAACAGATTACACTTAGAACTTGTGGTGCTGGTGGTCACATAAGAATGCTCCAACTATGTCATAGAAATTATTTATTAATTGCAAATATTGACACAGAAAAAGGCTGAGACTATCTTCAAAACAAGGCCACACGTGATGTACTCACATGCAGAACATTTATGGTATATGTCAGTGGTCCCCAACCTTTTTGGTACCAGGGACTGGTTTTGTGGAAGACAATTTTTCCACGGATGGGGGGAGGGATGGTTTCAGGATGAGACTGTCCCACCTCAGATCATCAGGCATTAGATTCTTACAAGGAGCACACAACCCAGATCCCTCGCATGTGCAGTTCACACTAGGGTTCACGCTCCTATGAGAACCAAATGCCATGGCTGGCAGGAGGCAGAGCTCAGGCGGTCATGCTCACTTGCCACTCGCCTCCTGCTGTATGGCCCAGTTCCTCATAGGCCACCGACTGGTACGGGTCCATGGCCCAGAGGTTGGGGACCTCTGGTATAAGTGACTATGTTTCTAAGGAAAACATTACTCTAATTTCCAGATTTTAGAAATACCCATCCTTCTAGACCTGAAAATCAAGCACTAAGCAAAATCATAAGGTAGTGCAAAATAGTATATGTTGTAGAACAATATAAAAAGCAAAATTAAATTTAGGATACTCTCATAAAGTAATTCTAAAACTTGATTAGGAAAATACTATTATAGAATTCATTAGGTTAATAAAACTATGGAAAAAAATAAAAAAATAAATAAAACTATGGGGTTTGAACTTTCACAATGGAGTCTTAAAAAAAGAGGGCTGAGCCTTAATGAAATGTGAATGTATACAACTGCACATGTATATTCTCTAAACCTTCCTCAGGATAAGGGTCTGATTAACCACTACATTATAAAATACATATACCAGTGATTCAAGTAATTTTTTGTTTCCTTTATTAATCTCACAGAATTATTCCAAGTCAGGCCATAAATAAAAACCGAGTGAAGTGCTTTTCACAGTGAAACAATCCTAACCCAAGAATCGGATGCAGCAGCATTTCCTACAGTTAACCCCATGGATCACTAGTCCCAAGAGATCTTCTGAGAAAACAGGGCTCCATGGTCAAGTAAGTTTGGGAAATGTTTCATACTTTCCTCCCATGTTTGGAGATTTACAATGTATAATGGTATTAAAGGCTCTAAGAAGTGAGACAAAGAAATTGATTTAACTGTGCTTAATCTAGCATTTCCCAAATTTATTTGCCACAAATCTCCTAAAATAACAGGGTGCTGAATATTTTCCAAGCATTTTCTGATTCATTCCCCAAGCAACCCTATGGGGTTATAATATAACCAATATTATTCCCATTTTACAGATGAGGAAACCAAGGCTTAAAGAGGCTAACTGAACTGGCCAAGCTGTGCAGATATTAAGTGAGAGAGGTGGGATATAAACCCATGTCAGTCTACCCGTGGTGTCCATGATATCAGCCACTATGCTATCTGCCCAGTCCTTTTTACAGAAGTAATATTTCAAAGAACGCACTGTGGGAAATACCAAGCTATAAGATCTGCTATAGGCCATATCCTGAACAGTCAGAACTTGCAAATCTTCAATATACTAATGTTGCACTAAAAATAATCTTAGGAAGTAAGGGAAGTTCATTACTTACTTCTACTCTTAAGATATCTATTTAGAAGGTTTTATATATTATGGGGAAAAGATAAAGGCTCATTTGACATCAAAAGATATTAGTAATACACATAAAATGCTTTCTAGTATGACTGTCATTTTGTTGAATATCTATTTCTATAGTTTTAAAAATTAGCAGTACAATTACATTTTAACAAAATATACCTAAACTTATATAACTGCTTTCTTCATCCAAAATAAACCCAGTAAAGAGACTGAAAAAGAACCCAAAATGTACTAAATATAGTAGTTTTAAAAAAATCCACAAAAGAACAATGACTTTTTTCATTCAATTCAGGGAAGTAGGTGAGTGTGACATAGCATATCATAAAAATTACTCTGGAGACACTTAAGAAGGCACTGCACTAAGAAGGTCCTATTTCATTCAAGTCATTTTTTAAAAGGCTGAACTCAGTTCTTTTTTGGTAGTAACTGACAGAAAGTAATTCTGCCTGGATTAACTGTGCTATGAGATATGGGTTAAAAAGGAAGTTTAATTAATCTAATGGTAACATGATTCTGTTTTCTTTTTTTTTTTTTTTTTTTTTTTTGAGATGGAGTCTGGCTCTGTTGCCCAGGCTGGAGTGCAGTGGCCGGATCTCAGCTCACTGCAAGCTCCGCCTCCCGGGTTTACGCCATTCTCCTGCCTCAGCCTCCCGAGTAGCTGGGACTACAGGCGCCCGCCACCTCGCCCGGCTAGTTTTTTTTGTATTTTTTAGTAGAGACGGGGTTTCACCGTGTTCGCCAGGATGGTCTCGATCTCCTGACCTCGTGATCCGCCCGTCTCGGCCTCCCAAAGTGCTGGGATTACAGGCTTGAGCCACTGCGCCCGGCCTCTGTTTTCTTTTAATACTCAACTGTTGTTGCACATCTATTTATTCCAAAGACAACTAAGTTGCCTTGCCTTGTACAGAATGGATCCTCTAAGTTTTCCCACTCTCAGTAACTTCTGCAGTAGCCCGCTGGCAGCAGCAGAACAAGATGAGCACCATCTACTCTAACCTAGAGGAGTGCTAGGCAAGCAGGCCCAACATGTCCTGCAGGGGCTGGGATGGCTGGGGGAGGGGCATGGACTCTGGATTTAAAGCTCAACTCTCAAATTTACTACGACTGAAACTTCTGGCGACGTACATTTACCTTTTTTTTTTTTGGCCTCAGTTTCCTTATCTAATGGAATCATAATAGTACCCAATCCATAGGGATGTGAAGATTAAATGAGTTATGTGTAGAATGCTTAGAATACTGCCTGCACAGACTGAGTGTGGTGGCTCACACCTGTAATCCCAATACTTTGGGAGGCTGAGGTGGATGGATCACCTGAGGCCAGGAGTTCAAGACCAGCCTGGTCAACACGGTGAAACTCTGTCTTACCATACTGCATGGTGGCACACATCTGTAATCCCCGCTACTCAGGAGGTTGAGGCAGGAGAATCACTTAGCCTGGGAGGTGGAGGTTGCAAAGAGACAAGATTGGGCCACTGCACTCCAGCCTGGGTGACAGAGCAAGACTATCTCAAAAAAAAAAAAAAAAAAAAAAAGAAAAAGAAAAATAATACTGCCTGCACATAGTAAGCCCTATCTCATAAGTATTTGCTGTTCTTTCAAGATATTTCTTGGCTTATGACCTTTAAACATAAAGTAACTATTAAGGTTCTTGTAGATCTAAAGTTTCAATGTATCATTTCTACGTTTTAGATTGGGTCTTCTATAATCAAACCTAAAAGGGAGGCAGGAATCATTTACTTGCCGTCTTTGAGGTATTTTCAAAACCTTATTATACTTCAGATAATACTGAGAAAAAAAAAATCACTGCTTTCGTGACAATTTGTTTTCTCTATATAGCTAGTATGCTAAAATAAATTATTTGCTAAAATAAATTCTCATTTAAAATACAAAAAGGCTTCAGTATGTTAAATTTACTTAAACTTTTCTCTAAGGAGAAAAGTTACAAATCTGGTAATTTATAATATGTTTAATATCTGATTTGGCAGAAAGGGAAGATTTGGGAGATGAGGGAAACATGGCTCAGCCAATTCTCATATTCAAAACTCAAAAAAAAAGTAGAAATAAAATAATTACATAATATTTTACCACAATTTTTTTTTTTTACCTAAATTTTCAAGGTCTTTCTTGGTGACAAATTTATAATCATCATAAACTGTGCTTTCTGGATTCTCTTCTAATTCTTCGGTCAAGTTGTCTAAGAAGGAACACCACCGAGGAGCAGGACCTAAAACCTGTTGGTATTTATGAGAAGGTCAGCAAAGGCACAGTTTCCCACACCATCCAAGTCTCAGTCATTTATAACCAAATTTTGTTAAGTATGATTTCTAAATCCTTTTTTCTCTCAGAAGTATTGACAAATAGATGCAATATGGATAATGAACAAGTATATAACAGAAGAGAATAAACAAATCAGTAAATTTTTAGGCTTGTAAGAGAAAACAATCTCAGTCTATGGCACAAAAGTATTAATGAATGTTCTTATATTAGCACTATCAAAACATAGATAAATAATTCAGATACTTATTAACATCCATTCATTCATGTATCACCTCCTTCCTTCAAAATACTACTAGAATTCTACAAAAGCATTATTTGGTATACTAGATTTTTAAAGTTTGCCAAATGAAGGTCTGAAAGAAAAATTACCTTTTTTAAAAACAATATTTATTAGTATTATTATTATTTTGTAGAGGTAGGGTTTTGCCATGTTGCCCAGGTTGGTCTTGAACTCATGAGTTCAAGCAATCTGCCAGCCTCAGCCACCACACTCGGCCCAAAATTACTTTCTTTTAAGATTTTTCAACTAATTACTCGACAATTACATTCCATTCTGCATGATCCACTTCATTTAATTCATTTAACTCATTAAAAACTAAAATTCTAGACTATAATTAATGGCAATATATTGTATTCTTGAAAATCACTGAGAGTAAATTTTAAATATTCTCATTACAACAAATGGTAAGTACTATGTGATCTGATGCAAATGTTAATTAGCTCAATTTAGCCATTCCACAACATACACGTTTCAAAACATCACGCTGTACACAACTAATACATATAATTGTTATTTGCCGTTTAAAAATAATTAGTTGATTTTTAAAATTTCTGTATAAAGAATTCTTCAAAACTAAATGGGTGACCAGGCTCCACGAGTTATCCCAATGGAAAGGCTGAGGAACAAAAGGCTGAACAGAATTAAAACCAACTAATAAAATATGAATCATTAAGTTTATAATCCAACTATGAAAAAACATAATCCAACTACTTTCATAAAATACTATGATTGCTTTGTACAATTTTGCTATTTTTACAAATGTTTCCTAACAAAATGCCACACCCGCTGAGGTGAACGTATGCCAAAGGAAATCTGCTCAGTCAACAGAGAAGATATGCTAGTGAAATCCTCCCTTAAGCCAGAGGTATTCTGATGAGAGAACACTGGGCTCGGGCAAAATGGAACTTCCAGTGACGACTTAACCTGTTTATTTCAGTAACAATCAAGCATACTGGGAAAAAAACCCGGAAATCATAATGGAAATCATTAAATCTAGCTTGAACTTTCTGAAGAAGGAAAGGTAGAAGGAAGAGTTATAACAAAGAAAAACAGTCCCTGTTAACACCCTCTTCAAATAAAAAGAAAATGTTAGATATGGCCATAATAATTTAGTTATAATATTTTGCCTGATTAGAAAGAGTGATTTTCTTCACCCCAACACAGCTATGGTACTCATAAACATGAAAACACTCGAGCATAAAGAGTCTTCCACAGAAATTTCATATTAGCGCAATCTACAATTTTTAAAAATAGAAGTAAAGGTTTTTACATACTAAGTGGTTTGACTCCAACCATAAAAGACAAACCTTCAAGAAATGCAAGCCATTTTTTAAAAATTCCATATGGAACACTTTTTTAAAGAACTGCCATGGTTTTAAGCAATTTTAGTATAGTAGCTTGAAGTCAACAACTAAATGCTACCACATACAAAGCACTGTGCTAAATTAAAGACACTGACCACAGTCTCCCTGAAGAAGTTTAAAATCCAGCTGAAGCACATGGGTGCACTTGCGTGTGCACATGTATGCACACACAATGTGTGTGTGCGATGAACTCAGATTGCACACTGAGTCCAAGGGGAAGATGGCTTAAAAAAAAAACCAGGGAAGGCTGGGACACCGAATAAGTCTATTTGAAAGGACTTCATGTCGGAAGGAGCACACGAGCAAGCCAGGAAAATCACAGGCATCTTCTGAAGCCGAGAGAGTTGAGGCGTTTGTAACTACAGGGGTATTTGCTTCCAGTGAGTCATAAACCTGTAAATGCAAAGCTCTATCAGATAATGGTGTACTGCCTAAAACAGCAATCTTGTCTTTTCTAGACTAGATCAAAGTATGCTATTATTGCTTTTTTAGAATATAATATCCAAGATATTGTCCTCTGAGGAGGAGAGACATCTGTTTTGTTAACTGCTGAATTTTTAATACCTAGAACAGTGCCTGCCAAATAGTAGGTGCTCAATAACTATGTGATAAATAAATCTATTCATGTATAAAACACATTCGAATTTCATATGCATGAAGTACTAACACTTAAAGGGTCCTCTGTGGCAAAAGTATTTCTAAATTGGTCTAATATTCCTTATTCAGATAAAAACAAGCAAATACCTCACCATAAGGCTACTGGGTATATGAACACTTCTGGTGAAAGTCAGATCTATCTTGACTCCTATGCAAGGGTACACTGCTACCCAAAGAATATCAAAATAAATTGTTCCACCTTTTTAAACCAATCATAAACATGGGCTTCCAAGACAATAAAAAGATTATACTGTGTGCACTGACTTTTGGAGGTGAGAGGCAGGAATACTAAAACAGTCTAGATGTGAATTTACTTTCATATAGCCCTCTTTTATAATGTTTCACAACATTCTTTCTGATTATCTAGATTTTAATGGAAGTGGTTTAAATTGCCTGTCAGGGGACACGTCTAGTTATGGCAAATAATCTCCACAATCAAATTCATAGCCATTAAATTTTCTAGGAAAAAATATTTCCATCAAAAACAAAATTAAATCTAGTAGTTGACCTTATTAATCACATTTCCTGAGTTCCTTTTCAGAGAAAAAAAAACATCAAAACCACCATAACAAAGTTGAAATGACTGATTTACACTGGTATAAACTGCAGGTTTTATCCACATTAGACCTTTCCTCAGACGCCTACAAGTTTCAAAACAGTGGCCAGCTTGGCCGATAAGGAAGGCTCAACCACAGGCATGTCACACTCTCTGATGTAGCTACAATGACCACAGTGTCAATGTGTAAAATGTCTTTGTTGCCTTCACAGCCATAAAATGTGTTAAACCTCCACTAACCCTTTAAAATATATTAATTTACTTTCTAAATTCCACATTTTACAACTTGAGGAAAACATCCTTTTTAGCCATATCTGGACTATCACTACTACCTCAAACTTTCCAGTTTTCTGTCCTGCTGTTATATTGCTGTATTCTATGTTTCGGTCACACCATGTTGCCCATGCTGTGGTCAATTTACAAGCCTTTCTTTTTTTCTTTTTATTTTTTTAGAGACAGGTTCTTGCTGTGTTGCCTAGGCTGGTCTTGAAACCCTGAGTTCAAGAGAGCCTTCAGAATAGCTAGAATTACAGGCACTGGCACTGTGCCCAGCAAATATTTCTTCAACTCACAGGTCACTATTAACAAAAGTAGAAAACTGAAAACTGATTCATCAGATTGCTAGAAAGGGACAATGCGGCTCCCTTAGCAACTTTAATGATAATCATATCAACCAATTGAAATGGAAATACTTGATTCTCCAAAACATGAAAGAATCTTTATGTACCAACATGCTACAAGAAGGCTGCAACTCAAATGCAGCAAAGTATCTGCTTGTGCCAATCTATTTGAGCAGAAGAACCAATTTTAAAGGACATGAAAATACATGCCATGTGCCCAAGATGATCACTGCTTCTATGATTACAATCTGTCTTTAAGATGCTAATTATAAAACTCAAAATTCTCATATATTTCTGTAAGGGACTACAAGTGGGGAGGAGAAAGGGTGAATACTAAAAATCTTAGGGGCCGGGTGCAATGGCTCACGCCTAATCTCAGCACTTCGGAAGGCCAAGGCAAGGGGACTTCCTGAGCCCAGGAGTTCAAGACAGCCTGGGCAACACAGTGAGATCCTATCTCTACAAAAATACATATTGTTGGCCAGGCGCAGTGGCTCACACCTGTAATCCCAGCACTTTGGGAGGCTGAGGCGGGCAGATGGCCTGAGGTCAGGAGTTCGAGACCAGCCTGGCCAAACCCCAGGTGAAACCCCATCTCTACTAAAGATACAAAAATTAGCCAGGCATGGTGGCGCATGCCTGTATCCCAGCTACTCAGGAGACTGAGGCATGAGAATTGCTTGAACCCAGGAGGTGGAGGTTGCAATGAGCCAAGATTGTGCCACTGCATTCCAGCCTGGGTGACAGAATTAGACCCTGTTTCAAAAAAACAAAAAACAAAAAAACAGATTGTCAAAATTAGCTGGGCATGATGGCATGTACCTGCAGTCCCAACTATTATCCCCGGAGGGTGAGACGGAAGGATCCCTTAAGCCCAGGATCTGGAGGCAGCAGTGAGCTATGATGGTGCCACTGGCCTTCAGCCTGGGCAACACAGTGAGACCCTGTCTCGAAGAACAATACAAATAAAAATAAACTCTTAGGGAGGTAAAAGAGGATACTCCTTCCCTCACTCTACTTTAGAAAAATCACTGTGCTACATCCCAAAGCTGTGCTGAGACAAAATAAAAGACTGAGGATTACCAGATAAATGGTTTTAACAGATCAAGGGTGATTAAAACAACAACAAAGTACCATTAATATCACAGACAAAGAACCAAAGTCTACTAACCCAATACAAATGCCATCATTTTTTTCTGCTTGCTTATAATGCTACTGAGTATGACAAAGCATTTCATTATCTAATGTACTATTAATGGAACAAACAAGAAAATAACTGATAACACAGAATAGCCATTAAATCTGAAATTATCTTTTTTCAGAATTTTTTCTTTTCTTTGAGACACAGTCTCCATCTGTATCCCAGGCTGGAGTGCAGTGGCATGATTTAGGCTCACTGCAACCTCTGCCTCCCAGGTTCAAGCGATTATTATACCTCAGCCTCCTGAGTAGCTCAGATTACAGGCACTCACCACCA